GGGGGGGGGGAGTCCGGTGACGTCACTGACATCGACATCACCGGACTCCTCCCCTCTTCCCTTCGTTAGCCGACGGAGCCACTTGGGGACATTGACGTCACCAGACTCCTCCCCCCCTTCCCGACGGAGCCACTTAGGGACATCGACGTCACCGGACTCCTCTCCACTTCCCTTCGTTAGCCGACGGAGCCACTTGGGGAAGGGGGGAGGAGTCCTGTGACGTTGATGTCCGTGACGTCACCGGATCTCCGACGGGACTCTCGGAAGCCGGCGGAGAGGTGAGTCTTTTCATTAGCGATCAAAAAAAATGTCATCTATCAAAAAGATTAACGATTAATCGAGAAAATAATCGTTAATTTGCACAGCCCTACTATTAAACTATTATTCACAAAGATTGTTGTGGTATCTGCAGTGTGGTCACATATTCGGTTCACCTGTATAGGTACCTGCACGTGGTGTTGTGACACCCTGGTGAATATTGCATCTTCCCACCACTTTTGAACTAGAGCCCTGAAGAAAGCCCACACGGGATAACATTTGAAACATTGGTGTGCTGTCACAATAATTGCATATAAATATGACAAGGCATAACCACAGTCAATATTCATACAAATGTGAAATGAGAATCACATAGTTAATTTTCCTTAAGCCATTATCTTTGGTATTGTATAGCTCCTTGGTTCTGAACGGGTGGGTGGCGACCCCGTGTTCAGTGGGTCGCCACATGCCTCCCATTTTTCTAGGTGAGAGACTCCTCAGCCTCCTCCTAGCGCAGCACAGTCAGTTCTCGCGCCGGGCAGCCGTTCAAAATATGCTGCTCAGGCCTACGTGTCAGCTTGAGGTAAGCTGGGCTGGAAGTATGTTTATAAGGGAGCTCCATCCATACATGCATTGCTTACAGCTCCCACATGTGCCCTGTAGAGGTGCCTGGACCGGACTGACACCACGTTCTGGCTCCCGGCACCTCTATGGGGCACGCAAGGGAGCTGTACCAGCAATGCACATATGGATGGAGCTCCATCACAGCACAGCAGGCCACACTGGACCCCAGGCTGAGGATCCACTCCAGTTCGGTCGTGACTTAATGACCGAGGACAAATGTGGGTCCTGAGGTTACACAGGTTGAGAGCCACTGGTATAGCTGATTATGATACTGACATCTTGTGGGCATTTTGGTTATTGCACCCTGTTTTCTGTGTTCCCTCCCCTTGTGTGTGCTGTACTTCCTTCTTGTTAGACTTGTCGTTTCTGGTGTCATGGCTGACTGTGACGTGGCCACATATTAATCTGCATTGCATGCTTGGAAACATTACCATATCTGACCTTGAAATACCGTCTGTTCATTCATCTGCTGTATCCTGTTGTCAGCTGTAACCCTGCTGCATCCAATAAAGCATTTTGTGGATGAAAAGGTATTTGGTGAGTTCAGCTATCTGATAAGGATTGTCCGCAGTGATCATATCTGCTTATACAGGCCGGACATAGAGGTCTCAGCAAGGGTTAAAATCGCTGATACAACAATCAGTGTGAGAATAATTGGAATGATCAAATTATCAGAAGACTGCACTAAAAGGCCTGTGAGAGAACCATATCTGTGACTAACAATTCATTTGGGAACACAGACCCTTGTAGGAAACTAGAGGGATCATATGCAGCCACCCCAATGACTTTACAGTGGTCAATGTCTGCTGTATCTGACCAATCACATACTAGCAGATAATTTGAATACATCTGTGCCTGGATCTCAGGTACTCCGCACAGCTCTACTCACCTCAAAGTCAGCCATAGACAGCAGGATTTCAGGTAGGACAGGTAACTGGAAAAGGAAGACGTAGCGGGATGAGAAGAGCTGAGATGGATGAGACAGCACGTAATCTGAGGAGGGAAACACACATACTGGGCTTCAGTCCAAAGAGCCAACATTGCTAAAGACAGTGAGGGATGGGCCGGCTTGGGGTCCACCATTCCCTCATAGAGAGTGTCCTCCTTTACATACATATCAGTGCAGCATTGCACGGTTACTGCAAAACACTTGTATACAGTGGCGTAACAATCGCCATAGCGACCCAGGCGGACGCTATGGGGCCCGGGCACAGGGAGGGCCGGCCTGGGGCGCTATGGCCTG